CTACTTCCTGCCTCTGGATGCCATGTGTCTTCCCCACAATGACTGACACCCCCTGTCAAAAAGCAAAACAAAACAACCCCCTCAACCCTTTTCTCCTTAAGTTCCTTTAGTAGAGCACTTTATCCCAGTAACAGGAAAAGGAACACAAAGATCCAGGCTGCCCCAACTCCACAGTGCTCCTTACTCCTTGCCCCAACATTCTTTCTGTATATGACAATGTTTTCAAAGGACAGTGTTCAACACAGTCATCAGAACCTCACCAGGAGAGGAAAAGAATAGACACTGGGAGGAGGTCTGTCTCCTTTTCAATAATGTGCCACTGTGTATTGGCCTTGGGAGGTCAATAACACCCTTCTCATCACGTGACACATCTTGCCTAGGCTTGTGGGAAAGGGCCCTAATGATGGGGCTTGAGTCTCTGGATTCAGCGGTACCTGAAACTGGATCCTAGGAGTTCCCAGGTGTGTGTGTATATGTGTATGTATGTATACATTTTTTCTCCTTCTAATTTGAGATGTGTTTCTGTGCCCTGCAACTTGAAAAGTTCCTGTCCTATTCGGGTCCCTTTTACCACTAAGATTTGGCGCTCTGGAGATGAATGAAAAGACTGCTTTAAGATGAGTCAGAGTGTAAACCCTTCATAGGTTGCAAAAGACTAGAGGGGGCAGGGAATCTGTGGCTGGCAAAGGCAATGCAATGAAACAATGAACTTTTAGGGGTTGAGCCTGCGGGATGGCAGAGCAGGAGAGGGTGGTGGGAAATGAGTATCTGAAGATGTACACTGTGATAAATTCAATAATAAGCATGAGAAAGGCTGAAGGGAGAGCCTAGAGGTCCAGACAGGTAGGATACTGGACTATGGGAGATAGCTCTCCCAGCCTGGACAAGGTGAGGTGTTGAGAGGGCAGAGGATTCAGACTCTGCAAGGACAGATGGGAACCAGTTATCAGCTATAGCAGCGGTTCTTAACCTGTGGGCTGTTTATCAGATATCCTGAAGAGCAGATAATTATATAATGATTTATAACAGTAGCAAAATTACAAAATAAGGAACTGTATCAATGAGTTGCAGCATTAGGGAGGTTGAGAAACACTGAGCTAAAGGATCTGGTTGGAGACTCAGAGGACCTACACCACTGAAAACACACAAAGGAGTTGGAGAGGCAAGAGGTGATGCCAACCATCTTGTGAACATGTCAGTCCTCTTTGGTTTCCTCCAAGGCAGGCCTTCCTTCTTCCATGTGGGCAGTTTCTTCTAAACTAGATTTTGAGAATCTGAGCAGGTGGTGTCCAGCACCAGCCTGAACGGTCAGGACTCATTGTCTTTGAGCACAAGTGTGTGGACAGAACCCCAAAGCCAAACAGACCCCTCAGGGCAAAAGGTGACCTCTCTTTGTGCCCAGGTAGTAGTGGCGCCAACTGAACCTCTTACCCACCCACTTCAGGAGAGAGCAGCAAATGTACCTGAGTGCCAAGAATGTCCCCTCCCTCCCCTGAGTAGGAGAGATGCAGCCATCTGGGAAGAGATTAGTGGAGGCACTCACAGCTGGACCGCAGGCTTCTTTGGGCTTTGGTTCTCTTGCAGCCTTTGTTCCCAGATTAGCCACTGTTTAAAGGGCAAACCTAGTCTCACTGCCACCTCTGGCACCACTCCAAGCTGAACCCCAAGGATGTCTTATTTTATAGCAAACTGGCACCCTTTGTCCCTAAGGTTGGTAGGGCCCCCATAGAGGAGACCCTTTCTCAGGGTCTAGCTAGGAAAGGGACACCATCCAGCCTGAGGGGCTGTGGCCAGGGTAGGAGCCTTTCATATGGAGGTTCAGGGGTGTTGCTCACTCTCTCTCTCTGCCCTGGTGCTCTCATCTTGTACATTTCCTGGCTGCTGGCCACATGCTCCACCTGGATTCAGATGGGCACAGCAAACTGACAGCTGGGTAAAGTTGCTATGCCCTAGTAAGGTGAAGGTCAGAGCTGGAGCTGCCAGAAGCGGGCCAGCCAGCTGTGGGTGTGCCCTTATTTTCCCTCCCACACCCCAGGCAATACAGAAGCTCATTCATCCGGGCCGGGAAGGGCACAGCCATGTGAATGTCACACTCTGTGCCTGCAGAAAGGGCAGGGGCTTTCTTCCCTAACGGAGACAACAGTCTGCAGTTAGGACTTTGCCCTTCCTCTGAGTCCTGAGTCAAGAGGGCAGGCTGGACACACAGTGAGACCCTGCTCTGTGGTCAACTCCTTAGGCATGATGACACTTTGTGGGTTTTTTTTTTTTTTTTTGGCTGTTTTTGTTTGTTTGATAGGTTCTTGTGTATCCCAGACTGGTCTTGAACTTGCTATGTAATTGAGGACCATGACTTTGATCATCTCCTGAGTGCCAGCATGCCTGGTTTATAAAGCGATTGAGCCAGTGGTTTCATGCTTGCTAGGTAACATACTACCACCTCAGTTATACCTCCTGCCTGACACCCCCCTTTTGAGACAGGTTTTACCAGGCTGCTCAGGTTGGGCTAGAGTTCATGAGCTCAAACGCTCCTCCTGCTTCAGTCTCTGGCTTCGTTAGAGCTGTAGGTTCGGACATGGCCGTGGAGGCCACTTTTGTAAATGTTAACCCATTTTGTGTAGTGAGGGGTTACTGAGCAATTGGATGATTAGCTGTGGTCCACATGTTAGCAGGACAAAGTTGCATGTGCACAGATGCATGCCTGTGAGCAGTTAGGAGTTGTCTGGTAAGGCTGGATCTGGGGTTTTTTTTTTGGGCCACGGGTCGGGGAGGGCTTGTCTGGGAGGGAGGCTGAGGCATGGCCTAGTGGAGACAGCGTCTTCCAAGATTCAGACTTTGGGGTCAGAGCTGGCCCTGATCCTGACTCTACTGCTAGTTGCTTGATCGGGAGCAGACCTGTCACACTGTCTGAGGCTACATGTTTCCCCCCGTGGGAGTTGTGGCTATGTCTGCATGGCCCAGTATAGGCAGGCATAACTCTGCTATGCTTTAATCATGGCAGCCACACACAGACATTCTCCACTTGTCAAAACTAAATCACAGCCCTGTACAAAACCACCTTCAGCCTCTTCAGTCACCTCAGGCAAACCTTCCAAGGCCTGGCATGCTTCAGACCTTTATCTAATGGTGAACTCTCATTACAATATCCAAAGCCTTCCTGAAGGAATGCCAGTGAACAGATGGTGACCATTCACACCATACATGCAGGTAAGCAGAAAAAGAAACAAAATGCTAATTGCCTCTGATACCATAAACTAGTGATCTACAAGTGAAGCAACTATCTTTTCTTATGCAAACAGTTCAGGGTGGATGTCATAATTAGACTCATTATTTGGAGTCTAAATACACACTAAAGAAGACAATTATGGCGGTTTTGAATTCTCTTCCCCTTCATATTATAATCACTTCTGGGATGTGTGTACTTTTCAGGTGCCACTGTGGCCACAGCAGCTGTGTCTGCTGCAAAAGGCTCCTAACAGCCAACGGCTAGTGCTAGAGACTTGGAGATGCTCACACATCATTCCCTAGAGGCACCACAGGATGAGGAATGGCCAAGGCTTCCAGTCAAGAACATTTACAAGGGGCGTATGCTGCTTCCCAGCCTTTTCTCCAGGAACAGTCCTAACGTTGGGCAGATGCCTGGCTTTAGCTAAGAGCCTCATCCAAGAACATTGTGATCTCAATCCCCACTGGCTACATTCCAGGACCCTGAAACCAAGAACCTCCCAGGTCTCAGCAGGAGAACACTACATAGCTCAATACCACGACCTTTCTCAGGTCACAACCCTGACAATAGTTTTAAAAAGTACAGAAGCTGGGCCTCAGGTCACTCTGGGCATCTGCGGGGCATGTCCTACCCTAGGTGTGGCACTTCCTTCTCATGACCTCCACCGCATCTATTAGTGGGAATGGCTCTTAACTGAGAGGAGGCAGCAACAGTAAGACTTAGCACCTGCTGGCTGGTGCTCTGTCATGGGATGTAGATGGGGTCTCTGTTGTATTGCAGTGCACTGGAGGGTAGCGCTGGGGGCTCCATGTGGCCTTGGGGCTCTCCTGGCCTGGGGCCTTTCTGGTTTGGAGCCAGGACAAGAACCCAACCACAGGAGTATAGTGAGAGGAAAAAGGACAGTATGTGGTGCTTTTTATTCAGTCTTTAAGCTGTGCTTCTTATGAACTCAAGTCTCAAAGTATGTACAGTGACCTGTGTTCTCACAGCATGGTGGAGAGCTCCAGTGCCCCTGGATAACTTATAGATTCACACTAACACCCCGGCTGCCTCCTTGACTGCATCTTGGGCTGTATAGTTTTCTGCTGGGCAGGCACACAGCCATGATAGAGGGAGGCTGAGAGAGCCAATTCAAACCCAGAGAAAAGAAATGTTTCTAACTGAAATAAAATTAGAACATGGCCTTGTCTATGTCCCATGATGCTACAGAAACACATTGAAAACATTTTTCTCATCTCTTTTAATCAAATAAGCAAATCCAGAAAGGTCAAATTCTAAGGGACTCTTGACTTCAGGGAATATTATAAAAATAAATCTGACTTCTGTGACTGGAGAATACAGGTTACCAGGGACTGCATGGAAGCAATACACCTGAACCCCAGTCAAAGGCAAAGTGCCCTGCCAGGGAATTCTCTCTGGGTGGAAAACCTGCCAGAGGCATTTATCCTGGAGAACACACTTCCCTTCCTGTCTCTGGGTGGAGACATAAGGAAAACAGCAGTCAAGTGCCATGGGAATTCAGGGTACAGAGAGCAGAGAAGCAGTCACAGGTTCAGTGTCTGGGAAATGTCGCTTCAAAATGCCATTTTACAGGTTTGAGGTCTGAAAACCAATCAGGAACTTAAAAATTAATTTTTTTGTATGCCTGTCAAGGAACACAGGTGAACACCTTAGTTATCCTAGTACACAAGCGGGCATTTGGGAGCTTCTCACTGAAGACACTGATGGGCAGGCACAGAATGACAGATTATTACAAAACAAACTGGACAAGAGAACCTTTGGTCATTGGAGAATTTTTTATGCATGAATCACTCCGCCCTCTACTGATCAAAGTCTACCACAGCCTCCAGCCCCAGGGTTTGCACCCACTGTGATCCCACCTCTCAAAACAGTCCCCACAGAGCATTCTCTCCAGACAACAGATGTTAATGAAATGTCCCTACACTCACTGACCCTGCTCAGGGGCATACAGAACAGCAGTGACTCTACAGCCACCTGTTGGCAGTCTCCTCTGGAACGTCACACCATGGGTGTTCTCCGCCCCCGTGGTCCTAGCTGATCTCACCGGGTCCTCGGCTGCTCCCAGGCTAGCCATCTCTAGTTGGAATGGGCATGGCCCTGGATCCAGCTTGGGATACAATGAGGGACAGTGAGCAGAAACTGAGCACTGCTCCTCTGGAAGCCAGGGGCCACTTACTGAAGCTAGGAGGTAGCAGGCAAGGCGTCCAAGGGCACACCCCACAGACAATGCAGCCCCATGTCCTGTCTCATGTGCCTGAAATAGCCTGTCCAAATGAAGACACACAGATGGGTTCCCTCCCCATTCTGTTCCAAGAGATACTTGTGCTCCTTCTACTTGGTGGCCTGGGTGACCAAGGTCCAGCTCTGGAGTTATACCTGCTTTTATCAATGTTTAATATAATGGCTGATTTCACATAAGCAATCATAGACTTGATTAAAATCAATATATTATTCTAGGTTGATTTTTTTCCATTCAAATGTTTATATTCCATCTACCTTGAACAATCAATTGAGAAAACAGGCACCTCCAAAGCCTTCCCAAAAACGGAGACTGTTGAAGCAGCACTGTACACATTGGGCAATGGAGACAAAGGGCTGTCAGGGCAGGGCCCGTCTTCACGGGGCTGCTTTCTTCAAGTCTCGAATCTGTTTAATCAGGTAGTTCTTCTCATCAGCAAACTGCTCGTCATCTGTCCTTTCCTTCTGGAAGCTGCTCAGAAATTCAATGAGTTTAGGCTGATTTTTTAACAGTATCTCCACGATTGGCTGCGTTTTGTGAGGGCTGGCCACAAACACCTAAAACAGAGGAAACATTTGAGCAATGCTTTACTAAAATGATTCACACACAAGTGACAGGAATCTGACACACTAATCCTTGCTTGTTTGTTCCATCAGCAGCCTTGGGGTGCCTGCTTCCTCAGCAGGGGCTAAGCAGCACAGGCTCCCCTAAGAAGGCCATGAGCCCTGCAGTCCTTAGGGCTCATGATGGAACAGTCTCTAGCACTGTTAATCACAGGAACTCCACCCACAGAAGGCCAGGAACCCATACAGGCCAGCAAGACTTCTACCCAGCAGGTCCAGAACCATAAGGTGACAAGGATCAGCCTTGGCCTCCTGGTTACACAGTATCTTAGGCTCTTCCTAGCTACTGGAACAAGAAAGCACAAGGGTGATTGGTAAACATCTTGAGACCAGTGAAAACGAAAACATGAGAAACAGTACTCAGGTAGGCCAGTCATGGCTGTAAATGCCTACATTCAGAAGAAAGGTAACTTCAGACACAATACATCTGGTGTTTTGCTATCTTATGAGGAACTAAGTTCCACTTGGTCATTCTACATGACCCTGTTAATTGCTTTTTAATTCATAAGGGATACTGCCCAGTGAGAGCTCTCTTATTGTTTTATCAAGATATATATATTAGGCTCTATTGCTATAGCCTAACCCTCAGTATCCAAAGGTGCCATTTTCTATGGCAACATGGACTTTGCAGATCTGTCAGGCAAAGATGAGGTTATACTGGGTTAAAGGACCCCAATCTAATGATTGGTAACAAGGAACTTTAGACCCAGAGATATACAGGCATACAGTGAGGAATGTGTCACATGAAGCCAGGGGATGGAGTGATTTGTCTCCAAAGAAAAACTGCTGGCAATCGCCAGAAGCTAGAGAACAGGATGGAAAGAGTCTCCTTGAAGCCTTCTAAAAGAACCAGCCCTACTGGCACCCTAGCTTTGGACTTCTGTGGTCTGCAGAACTGGGAGAGAACACACTTCTGTTCTTTCAAGCTCTCTGTAGTACTTTGCCATGGCCCTAGGAAGCTGATGTCACAGTGAGTGAACACAGGAAAACCACATGGTCATTTCAATTATTTAGAATTTGACAAAGTTCAATACTTTTCAGATAAAAAACATTCCAGAATGAAGCTGGGCCCTCACCTCACACCCTACACAAAAATCATTAAAAATGAACCAAAGTTCTAAGAGCTACTAAGACATTTGGAGAAAACTGGAGAGGGCAATTCACGGCCTTCCCCATCAAATGAACTTCACTAACAGTTAACACTCCTGTATAAAGGACAGGGTTGGTGGCCAGGGAAGAAAATATCTGCAAGTCTTATCTTACTGATCTCATATCTAGACTATGTAAAGAACTCGTACAACTCAACAACAAGGCATAATCTATCCATGAGGCAAAAGACTTGAGTAGAGCTTTCTCCAAAGAGGAATAAAAGTGACCAGTAATCCACACACACAAAAAAGAGACTTAGGGCAATGCAGGTCATACTGCAGTAGGCTGTCATTTCACACCACTGGTACAGGCACTGAAATGTAAAACAGAAAATACGTGCTGAGCACAAGGAGACACTGCAAGCTGGAATGCACAACAGTGTAGCTGCTGTGGAAAACTATGGCATCTATTTGCTCAGCTAGGCAGTGAGTGACCGTGTGACTTAAAAATGTTGTCCCAACACAGAGAAAAGGATTGTAAAATAAACACCATGCTCCAGTGTTGATAGCAGGAGTAGTCACCAGCCCCAAGTATTAACAGCCTGAGTAGCCACCAAACGATGAGTGGATGTCCACGCCATAGAATCTGTCATGGACATTACAAGAACAATGTGCTGAACAAGACACAACATGGATTTGACTCCATTTATACAAACTTGTCAAAATAGGCAGACCCATAGAGTGAAAAGCAGACTGGTGGCTTCCAACTGTAGCAGAGAAAGGAATGGAGAGACTGCCTAGTCACATGGTTTCCTTCTGGGGTGCTGGAACATTCTGATATAACCTGTGGGGGTACCAACTCTAAGCACTGAGCCCGGCCTTTTAACGTGGCTTTTGCTACAATACACTAAAATTATTACTTACAAAAAAAGGTGTTCCAGTCTTGTTTACACTGCTACGCAAATGCCTGCTCTTCACAGAACACCCATGAGTATGGTAGGAATCACCAGCCATGCTCTTGCCTTTTCTGGTTGACATTTGTTTATAAGAGAGCTGCTAAAGTTCTAACTACAGATTGCCTGGTGTTTTGTGGTAACTACATAAATAGCTCACAAAAGCACTGCTTAAAAATGAAAGAGAGACTAGATACACTGGGCAAAGCAAGCTTCTTTTAGAAGCCTGGTGGAGTTTGCAGGCAGGCTGAACTCTAGATCTCACACCCTACAACAAAACCTAGCAAAAATGTTCAGGCTGTTTGTAGACTTTAACAGCTTCCCTTAATTTTTTGTTTATGTCTCCCGAGCGGGCCGTTCAGAAGGCAGTAAGTAGTTCACCAGACTCTCATACTATCACTGACTGTCTAAGACTTTACAGGGTGGGGTGGCAGGACCCCAAGTTGAAGTGTAAGAGACCCTGAGGTGGAAGCTGACTGATTTGTGTACAGAATAGATGTTGCTGCTCCCCTCTTAAAAAAAAAAAAAAAAAAAAAAAGCAATTTTTCAAAGTACTTCTAAACAAATGTAAACACAGGAAACCTGCCTATTGCTCTTTGAGTTGTCTTATTGCCTGCATCCCTCAGTTTACACAACAGGTCTCAGAAATAAAATTTATAGTTTCCAAGCACAAAGAGAAAGGCAGTAGCCACATTTAAATGTTTTTAATTTGGGAAACAAAATATTTTGTTCTTCATTTTAAATTTGAATGCTTCTTATGAATTAAACCTTGCATACATTATCACTGATCTCATCCAAATTCTTTTCACCAGGAAGGGTCTGAGCTGAGGAGGCCCAGGAGGGCTTGCCCCAGCTTTGCTGTCCACTGGAACATTTGTACACACAACATGGAGTTACCCATGTGCACGTCCATTCCACAGAAGTAAAAATATTCTTACTCACACACATGAATGCACACACATACGAGTGCACACACACGCGCTCGAGCACACAGACACACACACACACACACACACACACACACACACACACCACACACACACACACACACACCGATAACTGGTAATCTTAGAGAAGGCTAGCTTGTTTCTGTTCCAGAACGACTGGCCAAGCTCTACGAGGGAGGTGCCCATGCATGGATGACTAGGCTCCCTCAACACCAAAGCAGGAATTGAGGGTGGCAGAGGCCAGCAGGCTGGAAACTGAGGTTCCTCTTAAGATCCCAAGAGTGCTCACAACAAAGACCCTGTTCTCTCATTGCTCTCTCACTGGGATGCAGGTGAGAAGCCAGGGAAATGACACACTGAAGAAGAAAGTAAAACAGTTACAGGGCTGGGATTTAGCTCAGTGGCAGGGAACCTGTAAGGCCCTGGGTTCCATCCCAGCACCACAATAAATAATACTAACTAGTCCACCAAACTCCTCCACTCAGACATAATCACCGTGAATAACCACTTATGCAGCCTTCCATCTTAAAGAAAACTGAGCTTATACTGTTTTACAGACTGGTCTATATTCTGTTCTTTCATTCAGTACTTTTGTTGTTGTTGCTATTTTGTTTTGTTTTGTGGTTCCAAAGGTTGAACTTTGGGCCTCACACATTACAGTCAAGCCCCCTACCACTGAGCCACACACATACCAGCCCTCTTTTATTTCTGGGGACTACACTGGTCAGGCTGCTCCTGAAACCATTCTATAGTCCAGGCAGGCCTTGAACTCATGACCTTCCTGGTTAGCTGGAGGAGCTGTTATTACAAGCCACTATAGGCATTTAACACAGATACTTTGTATGTTAGGAGCTGGTTTCCACCTGAACAGCAGCCAGGGTGGGCTCCCTGGGTACTGGCTAGCTGGTTTTATGCATGCTGTATGCTCTCATCATTACAGGTCTGGGGTGGGGGAGGGGCTAGGGGGAGAGACTGTTTGCTGTGCTCTCTAGGGGAGACTTGGAGCACTCATGCAGGAGGTGGCTACTGCTGGTGCTGTGCCAGTATGTGCCACATGCAGGCAGATCGTGCCTTTGGTTTAAAGTGCTCGCTCTTACGCACAGACAAGAGCAAGGAGAGGGAAGGGTATGGTGAAAACACTCCTCATCTGTGAAACAGCTTCAAAAGTAAAGAGCAGGTCAAGGGACCCGGAGAGCCTCTGACCTTTCCTCGGAAGTGCCTGTCCTTCAGCATTCTTCATATTGTCCTTGACGTCTCTAGGAACTCACTTAGAGACAGAATACATTCATTTGAAGTATACAAACCAAGCCTTGCAGGTTTCTGTTGACTTGTATATCATTCAGGTTCTACAATTTTTAGGACCAATCACATTGAGACACAACTCACATATCATGTAGTCTGCCCATTTAAAATATGTATGTTCCAATGATTCCTAGTATGTTCACAGAATTGTGTGTCAGCACATTCAATTTTAAGATACTTTTGTCACCCCAAAGAAGCCTTACACCCATCAGCAGTCACATCTACTGTGCCCACCCTGCCTCTGCCACCATCATCCACTTCCTACAGGCAGATATGTCAATGGAAGCAAGCAACTCTGCACAGTGTTCTCATGATCTATTCAAAGGAGGCATGCACTAGTTCCTCACACACTCTTATTGCCAAAACATTACTGAGTTTTGAGAAGGATTAAAGGATGCAATCCCTGCTTATATACATTTGGCACAGTCACCCTCAAACAGTCATTGTTTACTACCTTATTATTGTCTCTTTTTTTAAATTATCACCAATACCACACAATTGTTTCCCAAATACCCAAGGTCACACTAAAGCCCCACAGCTAGGAGGAGACGGGGTTCAGTGGCAGAGTGCATGCTAATAAGTTTGTCCTTGATTCTCCCACAGAAACTGCTTCCTCAGCCACAACATGAGGGTCCTTCACCTGCCTAACTTTAGGAGGGTGAGGGGCACAGAGTTCTGCTAAGGAAAGCACTGACCAACACAGGGGGTGGAACACTGGCACTGCCCTTGCCTAGGTATTCCGATACACCTTGGAGATTTCACACAACCATGGAAATGATGTAGAAGATTAAGCTTCTATTCCAAAACTATACTGAAAGCAGCTTAAAAATTTCTAGGGCTGGGGTGGGGGGTCTATTTAGGGTGTAGAGTAACAGCTAAGCACACACGAGGTCCCAGGCTTAATTTCCAGCACAGAGAAAAATGGTTACTTTCTTATTCTAAATAGGATCATAGATACTAAATATAGGCTTTTTCTTTTATACTCCTAAAAACTTTGGGGGAAGTGTTAAGGATTTCCACAATACAAGCAAGAACTCTGCCACTAAGCCATACCCTCTAGTTCCACGTGATGAATTTCTTTTTTTTTTTTATTGAAAAAAATTTATAAAATATATTTTGGGTTTGTTTTCCCCCCTTCCCTAATTCCTCCTAGAGCCTCTTCACCTAAATTTATGTTTCTTGTCTCTATTCAAATCAATCTCTCTCTCTCTCTCTCTCTCTCTCTCTCTCTCTCTCTCTCTCTCTCTCTCTCTCTCTCACACACACACACACACACACACACACACACACTGAAAAGAAAAGAAAAGAAAAGAAAAGACCCTGAAAACTTAAGAATTTCTTAAGGGAAGCATGTTTTTAAAAGAGAAAGAAGTGGCGCCTTGACAGCAACTTTTCACTTTCCTGCCCTACCTCTCTGTTAAATAACTAGTAGGAGTCAAGCAACACCAAATGAGGGCAACGTGAAGTTGAACACTCACTGTTTAAAAGTATGTTGTAAAACATGAAGACAGCAGTTACTTTAAACAGTTTGGTTGTTTTGAGGCAGTCTCATAGCTGCCTAGGGTGACACCAAACACCTGGACCCAGGCGACTGTCCTGTCTCAGCCTTTGGAGGAGCTAGGACTGTTGGGGATGCACCACCATACCCAAATACACACATCTTCATGCACTGTTACAGTAGGAAGTGTTAGTAAATCACCGTCAGTTCCCAAGTTCACTTAGTCCAGGAATGTCCTTGCAGCTGCTGTCAGCAGAGCATGTGTTCTGCTAGAAAGTTGTCCTCAAGGAAGTGAGTGATGGCTGGTTCTTCAGCAGCTGACCTATGGTCCCACATTCCTTCCAAAGCCACTGGTAGGAAAGCTACTCCTATTGAAGGGTATTGTGAATTTTTTTGCTAGACTGTCAGGTTGGCTTTTGCACCTGGAGTTTTTATGCAAGAGTCCATTTGTAGTAACGGTGACCTGAGTGCACCATGGTGTATGCACGATTGTTCCTGGCACTGGCTATGTTTTATTTCTAGTGGCTCTAGGAGTGAGCCCAAGCCATGAATTAACCCCTCCCAAGGTTTGGTGGGAAGTGGCAACATGGCCCATTGTTACTGGGGAAAGGGAAAGAAAGGGGAGAGGTCAGCTAACAGTGGCTCAAGTGTTTTTCTGGGACATTGAGGACACAAAGATACAGGCCTCAGAGCCCAGCAACTTAGTTTTTAATTTAAGCAGTTCATTTTCAAATAAGAAAGCAGATGGACATGCCCATGCCTGCTGCTGGCACTGGTGCAGAACCCAGACTGCTTCTCCTGCCTTGCACCTCAGGGTTTCCCATGTCACAACTGCACTGTCTAGGGCCCCGGACTTCCTCAGATGCAGTAGTACAGGGAGTCCCTGAACTCAGCTAGGTGAAGGGAACAGCACTGCTAGCCTGCAAAGACATTTCCAGGAGCATGTCTCTCAGATTCTGCATCTCTACAGAGGGCCCTTTGAGGGGAGGGTACCTGTTCATAAAGGAATGAAAAAGTTCAGGGCTCTTGCTTTCCTAAATAGCAAAACATTATTTTGGGGAAGTAAACAAGTCATACTTGAGTGGAAGAAAAAAACCGAGGTACAGGTTAGGCCCAATTCACACACACACAAGTAAACAGTGGTCAACTATTTTTAAATGTTCCTACTCGGTCCAACGATTAGCAGAACCAAATTCGGATTGTCTGAGGGCAGAGGCAGCCTATTTCTAGTTTGCCATGCACTAACTCTCTCTATAATCATGCATTTATGAACAAAATTAGATGACACTAGACCTCATGTCCTCTGACAGGGTACACACTCGCAGGCATGAGTGGCACGGCACACAGCTTTCTGTGCTGTCATTGCTTAGGAGGCTCTGAAGAAGGTATGCCACTCTCGATGCTTGACGGTTCCTGGCACCACACATTCATTCTGTTTTCAGGAGACAGTTTTAACAGAGAGGACTGTAGGGAGTAAGATGGCAAATGGCACCTCACATGCACACAGGCTGCACACCAGCAGCCTGGCCTGCTTTTAGCCAGAGTGCAACTCTGGACACCTCCCTTGTCCCCACTCCTTTCCTCTGCCTCTCCTGCGATGACCACCATCCTGAAATCATGCCTGTCTCTCAAACACACACTGCAAATTCATGAATCCAGACAGTGTCAAGTTTTCAAATTAACAAAAAAAGAAAAAAAATCAGCTTATCAGTTCTGTTAGGGTGGAAATAAATGAAACCTGTAAGTTAGCATTCTAATTACCCTGGTGGCTTCTGGGAAAATATCTGGTAGCAGGAACACTAAGTTTTTAGCTTGTCAAAGCAACTATAGCCTTAGAAAGTGCTAAATTTCTCCACTAAAAGACAAAGAACTCTGTCCCTGAATATACACTTTTAAGATAAAAAATTCTTGGAGTTGTTGAGCTTTTATGTTCATTCTAGACACCAACTAGGAGAAAACAACCTGAAACTGTTAAAAGCTGGCCAGATGCATAGTGTGAACTGCAACCTTACAGTAGTAAGAAATGGAATTAGTTATCCATAGCTCAGGGCCATTCATACTAGAATAAAGATGCCCAATGATGACATAGGATGCCTACTGTTTGGAAATTACACATAGCACAAATGTTTACTTATGGCACAGCATGATGTGAAAAAATCTAGGATATAAATTATTACTATAATGTGAATACAGTTGAGGAAAACTCCTCAGATATGTCCATAGCAGTTAGTAGTATGGGATTACAAGTTAGCTTTTATCTTGTACCTATATATATTTAAGTCAAAGCAGTAGCAAATGAACCCTGGGAGCTGGGTACAGCCTTGGGACATCACTTGGGGTCAAAGAGGGGTCTGGTGAAAGCAGAAGCCAGCTCTTTGGCCTCCCATTTAATCTATGGGGGAAAATAAGCCATTATTTTTAGTTATGTGTAGGTATATGTGTCTGCATATGGGTATGTGCATATGACTGCAGGTGCCTTCAGAGACCAGAGGCATCAAATCCCCTGGAGCAGGAATTACAGATGGAAATCAACAACCACATATGGGTGCTGGAATCTGAACTTAGGTCCTCTGCAAGAGTAGCAAGTGCTCTTAACCTATGAGCCATCTCTCTAGCCCTATGAAGGAAGCACTGAACTGCTAAGTATGGTGGCAGGGCCTCTATGAAGCATGGCCTCACTGGGTTTCCCATCTCTTGGCTCCTAGTGAATACTACAGAGGCCTTTACCAGGTGGGTCAGACATCGTTTATTTTTCAGTTGATTTTAATTTGAAAACAACTGCTTATCTTACTGTATGGTAGCGAACTGCAGGGCCTCTGAGGTTAGGTCAGCTTGTTGCAGATGTCACACTTCTTTAAATTTATAAATTTATATGTAAAGGCCAGAGGCAAATTTGCCCAGCTGTAGGTAGCACTCGAGTAATGGTTTTCTGCAATTAGTGAGAAAATATAATCTAAGTTTGCAAAACAAAAGGATCCTTTAATTTTCTCTCAAGTAAAGGGAAGGAAAAAGCAGGTACCTTGCCATTTCAAAGTTGCAGAAAAACCTGTCAAGTTATCAGCTCAAGTTATCAGCTCTTTACCTTAAAGACATGGAAGGCTTCAAATTGGATGTTGGGGCTCTTGTCTCGAAGCAGGTTCATCATCAGTTTCAGGTTCTCTGGCTTGCTGATGTACTTGGTCATAATAGCAAAATTGTGGCGGTCCAGGATCAGCTCACCTAGCAGCTGCAAGACATGAAGCCAAAGCTATTATAAGACTCTTCAAATACATCTCACCAAAATGGAATCAAAACCCAAGACTGGTGTGAAGAGTTGTGAGGCTTCTTAAAGGACAGGTATATACCAGGCATGATAGTACCTGCTGTAACCCCAGCTACTCAGGAGGTTGAGGCAGGAGGATCACCACTTGAACTCATGAGCTGCAGATCAGTAAGCTCAGTGGGGCCCCATCTCATACAAACAAACAAACAAACAAACAAACAAAGAGACAAAGAGACAAAGAAACAACAACCAACCAGCAGGCAGTCCTGAACATGGTATTGTTGTTATTCTGCCAAGCTTTAATACAGTTTTGCTAAGGTTAGTTCTTGAAGCAGTTTTTCAGCCACTTACTGCTCAGCATACTAACAGACAGCCTGATGCACATCTATGTCCATCACTCTGCTTCCCAGTCATGTACTGTTCAGGTGGAACAGAAGTAACAAAACTGACTGGATGAACACACTTTCTGTTTGCTGGAAAGCTTTCATGTTAAGAAAGTCTTATCCTTGACATATCTTTTTAAAAATCAGATTTGTTTATTTTATGTGTACTTTGTCTGATTGTATGTTCATACACATACAGTGCATGTGATTGGTGCTAAGAGAGGTCAGAGGAGGGCGCTGGATCTGGATCTGTCTGCCTCTGCTGGGATTAAAGGGGTGTGCTACCATGACCTTTCATAATATATGCTTTTAACCACTGACTTTTATTATAGAACTTGATCTAAGGAAAGAAAAGCAAACAAACACTATGAATCTATATCAATATGCAGGAAGGTTTGTTTTTTTTTTTAAATTACATTGTGTGTGTGTGTGTGTGTGTGTGTGTGTGTGTGTGGTGTGCCACAGCAAACGTGTAGGGCAGAGAACCAGTTGTCAGTCAGTTTTCTTCTTCTACAGTGAGTCCCTGTAATTAAACTTGGGGTGCCAGGCTTTGTGGCAGACTTCTATACCTGCTGAGCCATCCTATGGCTCAAATGTTGTATAAAAAAGTAAACAGGGCTAGTGATACAACTGACAAGTAGAGTGCTTACCTAGCACGTGTGAGACCCTAAAGTCAATCTCTAACATGGCATTAAAAAAAAGTACAATCAAGACATTTTATGGTGACAAATCAATGGTCCTCAAAAGGCAATATTACTCTGAAGCAAAATGAAATTACTCAAAGTGAGAATAGTGCCGCCTCTGGCAGTGGGAGAATGCACCACCGTCTGTCTCCACAGTCCATCCTCTCGCAGCAGGAGCTCCCACCACCAGACAGTTAAGAAGTGCACATGCACAATTTACATGCAACAGTGCTCCTTTTGCTCCTTTCTTTGTACTGAGGCTGGGCAAGGCAACCCAGCATTAGGAACAGACTGCCAAGAGCCAGTCAAGCATTAGGGTCAGGCCCATTCCCACTGCCAGGAATCCCAAATTGGACCAAGCCACACAACCATTGCACATAGGCAGGGGGCCTAGGCTGGCCCTATGCAGCCTCTGGGAGCTCCTATGAGAAGGTCAATTGCTCCTGTGAGTTACTTTGATTCCCCTGGCTTGTACAATTCTTCTTCCCTCTCCTCAAAAGGATTCCCTGGGCCCAGCCCAGTGCTTGGCTGTGGCTCTCTGCATCTGTTTCCATCCGTTACTGGGTGAAGGCTCTCTGATGACAACTGGGGCAGCTACCAATCTGATTACAGGAGACGGTCAGTTCAGGCTATCTAGCCACTATTGCCAGGAGTCTTAGCTGGGTCATCCTTATAGATTTGTGGGAGTTTCCCTTGTATCGGTTTCTATCTGAGCCTGAAATGTCCCCCCCCCCATCAAGTCATCTCTTTTATTACTCTCCCCTCCATCCACTCCTCAACCCAGTCCCTCATTTTCTCCCCACCTCCCCATCTACCCAGGACATCTCTTCTATTTCCCCTTCCCAGGGAAATGCATGAATCCATGTGTCCCACTAGATGGTGGTTTCTCAGAAAATTAGGAATCAGTCTACCTCAAGACCCAGCTAAAGCTGGGTGGTGGTGGCACATGCCTTTAGTCCCAGCACTCAGGAGGCAGAGGCAGGCAGATCTCTGTGAGTTTGAGATCAGCCTGGTCTACAAGAGCTAGTTCCAGGACAGCCTCCAAAGCCACAGAGAAACCCTGTCTCAAACAAACAAAGACCCAGCTATACCACTCTTGGGCATATACCCAAAGGAAGTGCAATCATACCACAAGGATACTTGCTCAACTATGTTCATAGCAGCTTTATTTGTAGTACCAGGAACCTGGAAATGACCTAGATGCCCCCCAACTGAAGAATGGATAAAGAAAATTTAGTACAGTTGAATATTATTCAAATGTTAAAAACAATGATATCAGGAAATTTGAAGGCAAATGGATAGAACTAGAAAAAAAATCACTGTGAGTGAGGTAGTAGCCCAGACCCAGAAAGACAAACATGGTATGTACCCACTCATAAGTGGATACTAGCTATAAAATAAGGCATAACTATGCTGCAATCCACACCCTAAAATGCTCCTCTAACTTTCTGAATTGTTTCTGAGATTCCCCCATGTCCAACCCGAGAGCAGCACACTGCACAGCTGGTTACAGAAGTCCTGATGAGCACAGCCATAGCAGCGAGGCCTTTCAGAGTATAATTCTAGGTGTGTATGTGTGTGCACGAGTGTAGAAATGGTGTCTTGCTTCCATTACTTATTCTGTCTATTCAACAGTAAGAGCCACACATGATAACAATCAGCTTCGGCTGTCCTGCTGCTTCTCATACTGGCGAGGAACTTTGCGATTAAATCAATGATCCTGTAACCTCCCCTTGCAGTAAAGTCCCCAGGGCTCTCAGGAAGCTGCCTTTGTTGCTGGCTTTCACTCCTGCAGCCTATCTGTGGCCACCTGCCACTGCCCCCTTCTCTGCACCACATTTGGGGAAGTCTGCAGGTTGCACACTTAGTTCCCTTCCTGCAAAACATCACATCTCCATCAGTGGGTGCAGTTTTAACACTGATGTCTCCAGAATTTCTAGTCAATGCTGACCCACAATTCTATTTGTTATACAGACCTGCTTGGATGTTGCTGGCTGATTAACTTCACATCTTTAAAAGCAGTTGCTTTTCTTTTCTTTGTTGGTGACATAGAGGCCTGTCACTCCTGAAGTCTTCCTCAGCTCCCTTTCTCTTATTCAAATTCATATTCAAGGTTCGCTAATTTTCTGGTTTCCAGTGGCTCTTGAACATCCAGTTCCTCATCTTTGCTATCAGCTTCCTTATTCAAACACTCCCTCCCTTCCATTTGAATAAATCCAAAATCACCATGATTTTCCTCACTTTTTATTAGTCCCACACACTCTGCAATTAAAATAATTTTCCTGAAAGTCAGCTGTATTTACTATTAATTCTACTTACAAAGTGAATGAGAAAATGCCTCATTTCCAAGGATCTAGGGGAAACAGCTCGTTAGGATGGCATCTTCCTTCATTTCCTCATTTCCATGCAGTCTGCTGTATCCTTTCCTTTTGAATTCTGAGAAACGCCATCACTCCTCTGTCCTATTGTCACCTCTCCCCCCTCCTGCTGGGTTTCCCAGAGCTGCCACTGGGCTCCTGTTTGTTTCTCTTGTCTTTGCCCTGCCAAGCTAACCATGTGGTGGGGATTGCTGGGGCTATCCTAGCAAGTGGAACCCCTCTTTACAAAGTGCATGAGTGAAAAACTATGGGGGACCTGTTAAAAAGTGACTCTGGAGGCTTACTGCCTACCCCAGGAACACAGCTAAGCACTGAGGTGGCTGCCTGAGTCCCTCAGGGTGCAGGCAGACTTTCCCTGTGGGAGATCTCCCAGCAACGTCCCCTGCACCTCCTGGGTCACCTAAAATTCACCTGGTAACCCAGGGAGCTGTTTGTCTCAGCAAACTCTCTTTATCTGGATATTCAAACTTCTTTTATCTCTCCAAGAAGCCTGGAGTTCTCTCCAAGCACCCCTGGAGAAGGGCACAAGAGTGTTGCTTTCCTGAACTAATTTAGCTCAAAGGGCTCTTCAGTCCTCAAGACAAAGCACCCCTGACTGTCAAGCCAGCAAGGGCTTTTCAGCTCTAAAAATATCTACCTTTCTACCTTCTACCGACAAACACACAATAAAATAATGTAGCACAAAAATAATACAAGTAACAAAGGGGATCTCTAACTGTGTGGCTTTAGTTCTTTGGCTTTTATACCATTCTGTGGGTCCACTTGTCTGTTTTTTTTTTTTTTTGTTGTTGTTTGTTTGTTTGTTTGTTTTTTAATAATAGCTCTGTAGAGTAACTTGGAATCTGGTATGGTGATTCCTCTGGCTTCCTTCTTTTTACTTAGGGTTGTTGTTCTAGCTATCTGGGATCTGGCTTCTATACAGAGTATATTTTTCTCTTCTGTACATAATGAAGAAAATATGGTATACATACATAGTGGATTTTTTTTTTTTGAGACAGTGTTTCATGTATCCCTGGTTGGCTTAGAACTCACAATGTAGCTAGGATGACCTTGAAATTCTGATCTACCTCCCTAGTGTTAGGATGACAGGCATGTGTCATCACCCAGATTGTGTTGTTCTGGTGAATGAATACTGCATACTGAATACTGCATACTAGGCAAAGACTCTACCAATTAAGCTATAAATCTCCCCCCACTACCTACAGTGGAGTTTCATTTAGTCATAAAGAAGAATGAAGTACGTTGTTTGCTAGAAAATGTATACAACTAGAGATCTCCATACTAACTAAAATAGTCAAATCAGGAAGACAACAATCATTTGTTTTCTCTCATCTATACAGATACATAAAATCACTTGAATGCACATATACCATGAAGATGAACGTCAAGATTGGAAAAATGAGAAGAATAGAGGAAGGAGAGAAAAATGAATATGTTCACAGTGTATAATATATTAGTATGTAAATATCTTTATGAAGCCTCCATACTTGTACAATAAGTATACTACAATAAATTTTTAC